AATAAACAAATGAAAAGATGTTTAACTTCACTAGTATTTAGAGAAATGCAAACTAAAATAAGCTACTTTTTGCCCATTAACAAAAAAATTTTAATGATTGATATTGTTCAATGTTAAGGATTTAGAGAATGAGACACTCTCGGACTCTACAGGTAGCAAGATAACAACTAAAGCTTCCTTAAGGTAATTTAGCAGTCAATCATACCAACAACGCACGCATCCTGCACCTAGCAATTCCACTGCTAGCAATCCATCCTACAGAAGTACTTCTTCCCTACCAGCCACTATTTTATGCAGACCTGCAACACTGTTGGAGTGAAAAATTGGAAATAACCTAAATAAATAACAGACCAGTGATTATGGTACATTCTTATCATATAATACAATGAAGTCACTGTTTAAGAATACATAGAACTCTATGTATTAAGAAACAAAGACAGTATGTATGATTCCTTTTATGTTTTTCTTGTTGTTGTTTGTTTTAAAAAAGGAAGAGCAACCACAGAAACCTTTTAGGAGTGTGAGAAGTCACAAGTAAAGAGTGAAGTTAAAGGATCAGGTAAAGACAACCTTGAGGTTTCAAGCCTGAGTGCTGGGAAAATGGCAGGTTCCATTAGCAGAAAATTATGAGATGTAAAAAATTATTTATTCCTAAAGGCGATGATGAATTCTAGATGTTCTGGGTTTAGAGTTACAGATGCAACTTCCAGGATTATTAGTGGATGACTAGGACAAAAACGAGTTCTGCTCATGACTGAAGCTTTACTATTTAAATGATGATGTGGCCATGCTTTCAGACTCATGCTCTAATGTAGAGATAATCTGACTGAAGTGAGATTTAAGAACTCTGTGTTTCTAAATTCAGTATCTTGTTCAAGGGTCTGGAATCAATCATAGCTTAAAACCATGTATGTTGTCTAGGGATAAAAGATCTTAAAGAGTTCAGGAATATCATGGAAGTAGGAGCTTAGATGGCACCACCTTCTATTCCATGAATGCATCCAGATACTACTCAGGCTACCCACTGCCCTGCACCTGACCACCACCAGGAATTCCACTGCTTCAAACTGGCCTTAATTCTCTCCTCAACGAAGTGGTGATTCTGGGCTGCTGGGGCCTTACTTCTCCCTGATCTGTGAAGTTTACCATGCCTGAGGTCCTGGGAAAACTTGTGATCCCACACAACAAAGAATAACATCTTACCTGGTGTGTTTTTTGTTCTGGGCTTCTTTTTCTTAGGACGACTAAGTGGAATATCATCTATAAAGCAGGGGAAAACGTCAACAGAAAAGGCTGCCTAAAATTCAGTGCAGAGAACAATCAGAAGAGAACTTTTAGCAGGGAAGAATTTTCCCTCTCTTCCCTGGGCCCAGCAAACTTTTATAGATTAGGGGAAGAAGGCAAGAAATTGAGAAGACCAGAGAGCGCCCACACTGTGGTACCAGTAGCACACTGCGAGTCAGTAATGTTAGAAACCATGACACAGAAAGTGGGTTCAACAAATATTCATCTGATCCCCTACATTTCCCAGTCCCCTTGCACATAGGTGTGGTCTATGACTGGTTCTGGCCTATAGGCTGTGAGCAGGTGATCTGTGTCATTTCAGAGCCAAACGTTGAAAGAGCCAGTGAGTAATCTGTCAGCTTCTCTTCCCTTGTTGTGGTGACTGAGGAAGCCTCATGTTAAGATGGTGGGACCACAGCATAGAAGTAGCCTAGATTGCAAGCCAGGCGCAGTGGCTCACGCCTGTAATCCCAGCACTTTGGGAATCCAAGATGGGCAGATCACTTGAGCTCAGGAGTTCAACATCAGCCTGGCCAACATGGCAAAACACTGTCTCTACTAAAAATACAAAAAGTAGCCAGGCATGGTGGCACACGCCTGTAATCTCAACTACTCAGGAGGCTGAGGCAGAAGAATCACTTGAACCCAGGAGGCAGAGATTGCAGTGAGCCAAGATTGCACCACTGCACTCCAGCCTGGGCAACAGAGCAAGATACTGTCTCAAAAAAAAAAAAAAAAAAAAAAAAAAGAAGTAGCCTAGATTGCTATACCAATAGTAAAAAGGTAGTGAAAGGCAATTGTCCCCAGTTTTTGCCATAGCGGAGTTGGTATTAATTAGAAATAACCCTGTGTGATACTAAGTCACTGAGATTTGGGGGTTTTTAGTATGGTATAACCTTGTCTACCCTGACTAAATGAGACAAAGGAAGGTGCAGTCCTCGTTACAGAGCTACAAACTAGCCAACAGTTGTGTGCTCGGTGACCCCATTCAGGGATGAAGTGCTTTTATAATGGCAAGGTCATCTAGTGCTATGTATTAAAGACAATTTTTAAATGGTAGTCATGGGAGATTATTTGACAAAAACATATTGTAGAATTACAAATTACACCATTCAGATTCGGTTTTAAGATAAACAAACCAAGGAATCAAACTAATTTTTGAACACCAAATACTATATTTAGAAAATTTTATATTCACATTAAACTAACTCACCTTGACTAACATGTCATGTAACACCAAACAAATTTAATCAGCAGGACAAAGACAAAAAAGGAACAATTAATTAGAAACCTGTTAATATTCACAGTGAAAATTGACTTAAATCATTACAAATTTAAAATAAAATTAGCTTTCATGTAATAGCTAGTTTACAGACTAGTTTACTGTTTATAATTAATAAGCTGTTTAATAACACTACTAATAAAATAATGTCAATATTTTCTGAACCCACATATACATATTCCCTACTGTCTATTAATAAAGTGGATTAAGCAGATTAAGAACTCTTACTTGTCACTGATTAAAATCAGCTTAAACTCTGAGGAAACTATTCTCACAAACGAAAGATCAGAATTCTGATTAAAAAAAAAAAAAACACTAAAACAGTTAGAAAGGGAATGGATCCATTATCCTACCATGATGATATTCAGGCTTTTAAATTTAACATTCAATTTTAACTGCTATTCTTATAATTCAAGGATTTTTCACCTTTAAAATTTCAGAAAATCCCTAAATTTTTCAGAAGAGTTTCCAGAATCATTGTAATTTTGCAATGATACTAGTTAATTTTTCTACTGTCTTCGTTTTCCATTTTTAAAGCTCAATAATGAAATTACTGTAAATTATGTTTACCTTGGCACAGGTGGAAGGGCTCGTGGAGGACGCTGTGGGGGAAAAAAAGAAATTTGCTTGTAAGTAAAAGCCTAGAGCATCTTTACTTCATGTATCCCAAACACCATAAAGCTATTCTTTTTTTCCTTTTTTTTTTTTTTTTTTTTTGAGACGGAGTATTGCTCTGTGGCCCAGGCTAGAGTGCAATGGCACGATCTTGGCTCACTGCAACCTCCATCTACTGGGTTCAAGCAATTCTCCTGCCTCAGCCTCCCAAGCAGCTGGGATTACAGGCACCCACCATCATGCCCGGCTAAGTTTTGGTTTTTTAGCAGAGATGGGTTTTGCGATGTTGGCCAGGCTGGTCTTGAACTCCTGACCTCAGGTAATCCGCCCACCTTGGCCTCCCAAAGTGGTGGGATTACAAGAGTGAACCACTATGCCCGGTGAAACCACTTCTTTCAAAAGTCTGTTGTTCAGACATGACAGAAAAATATAATGGATCGGACCAGGATCTTCAAATCTTTTGATAATCTTGTTCATTAGTGAAACCTGGGAGGTACTGATGAGAAACATGGGCAATTTAAAATTTGTTCTCCCATTCTAAATTTCATATAAAATTATTTCCTTCCTACATTCCTTTCTATCTCTAGGCCAGGCCCTTTTCTAAGCATTAGGAGTACACTAATGAACAAAACGGAGAGAACTCTGCTTTTATGGAACTTACATTCTAGTGGTTATTAGAAACAAGGTTAAATATATATAATATATACTATATATTATATGCAGCATGTGTAACATATATATGCTATATTTAAGACATATATCTTGTATACATACCTTGTGTATATATACACAAACACAAACACACAAAACGTAATGAATGAAGGAGACTGAGTGCTACTTTTGTTAGGGAAAGTTTCTCTGAGATATTTGAGCTGAGACCTGAATGAGAAAGGAGCAACCGGAACAAATGCAAAGATTTTTAGGTTAAATTGGGCCTGGAATATTTCAGGTAAAAGGACAGCAAGGCTGCCGCACAATTGCCAAGGAGGTAGGCAGGAGCCAGATTTAGTTAGGGCCTTGCAGACCAAGGCAAGGAGTTTGGATTTTGTTTTAATTCAATGGGAAACCAATGGAAGTTTTAAACCACATACTAACACAAATTTTTAAAAGGCCACTTGAATATACTGGGAAGAATGCGTTTTAGGGCAGAAAGAATGGTGGGGGGAACCCTTCTAAACGCTCATTTATATGAATAAGAAAAGTGTTTGCAGTCAGAGAGCATTACAGTTGAGAAGTATTTTCAGAATTAGATACTAAGAGAAATGCCTAGAAGCCAATTTAATGTTCCAAGTATCTCATGCTGCTTGCATAAGACATTTATTCAAAAGGGTTAAATTTTAGACATTTTTGTAGTTTGTCCCATTTAGCAATCCATTCGTTCGAACAGTAGATTAACGCAAGTACTACAAGATTAGGACGAGGCAAGCTCCCGTAATACCATCCAGTAGTCAAAATCACAACTGGAAAAGAATGACAATCACGGGAACGCGCTTGTTCTACAGATGCTACGAAACGCGCGCGATCGATCCAAGGACTCAGTTCACGTAACTGATTTCAAAAGTCCCGCAAAAATGACATTCCACCTACCCAGAGACCCAACCTCTACTCCTCAAAAGTAGGACGGCTCAACTGAAGACAAAAATCCTAACAACTAAAAGTAGCTAAGGCTCGCTTACCACAGGATTCTTCCCCATTCTGTGTTTAGCCGGCCTCGGCAGCCGCCGGCCCGCAAGCACAGGGCGCCCCACCCCTCCCGGCTCTGTCGCGCGCGCAGGCGCAATGCGTCATCGGGCAGCGCCGCCGGGTGGGTAAGTTGGGGTGAGAGACGCGCAGGGACCTGGATTGGCCAGTCCAGACTAGCCCTGCCAAAAAAGGGGCCTCTGAGTTGGGGTAATGTGCCCAGGAGCAGAGATTCGGCGACCGTGGCGCTGCAATCGCAGCTTTCCCGTGGTTTCCTAAGTGGTCGCGGTGATTTGTTTGCGGGGAGCGAGGCGTGAGGGAAGACCTTGGTTAAAGGACTCCGCAGGCAAACAACGATCTTTTCTAGGCAGCTACTGCCCTCTCGGAGGGGGAGTCTATGAGAGGCCTGGCTGGAAGCCCCAGCACCCGCCCGGCGCTGGGCCTCAGAGAAGTGAGGCGTCGTCGTGGCAACGCGGGCTCAGGTACCCGCAAACTTCATGCCAGGCCTCTCTCCCCTACTCCAGGAGTTCGGTCCCGGCCTCGCCTGGGTCTCCGTCCCACTCCTGTGAATGCTGGAGGGGCGGACGCGCGCACCCCATGAGCAAGGCTCTCCCTTAGTGATCCCCAGCTCGTTAGCGCCCCCCACACACACCCACCCCCACCCCGCCAAGTGTAGCTGTTTACCCGCCACCCCTCGAGGCCGACGCGCCCCTCGCCGCTCACCAGGTGGCCCTCCTCCAGCCGAGCCCCCGAGTCAGCCCTCATGGTGCTCTCCCCGCGGGGCTTCCCCGGCGCAACCGCCGGCGGCCCGAGCCCAGCTCCCCGCGACGCTGCAGCCTGCGGGACGCCGGGGCTTCGTGGCGCCTGGCGAGGCCGCCTCCCCGTGAGCCAGGTCCCCGCCCGCCTCTGCCCTGCCAAGCATTGCTGGGTTTGGGACGAATGTGTTTACTCTCTAGGACCAACGAGTCTGTGCGGGCCTGGGTGTGTGGATGTGTATTAATATAGGCAATTCTCACATTTTCTCCGATTGCTTACCCTTCATCCCATAACTGTGTAAATCAAATTTGGAAAAACTTTTTCTTGAAGAACCTTAAAATCAAATCCGACCTCACATAAATATCACTACAAACTACTTAATTTGCATAGTTTTATTTGGTTAGGTTTTTTTTTTTTAAGATAACTTTCACTTTAAGTAACAGAACTAGAAATATTTTGAATCATGCATTCTATTTTACAGTTAAGAAAGAGATGAGAAAGATGGAAGAATGATGTGGATATGGAGAAGAGAATGATGCAGAAGATGAACAGATACAGGGACAGGGAAAGCGCCTGGAAATCTCAAATCTGGGGGAAGAAAGAGAAACAGGACTTTGTAATGGCATCCTAATCTTGTTACCAAACAAACGGGGTTTGTTGCCCTATATGCACAGAAGCCAATATTATGATGCTGGTTTTTTGAGAAAAGTTGTTATTGCGAGTCAACTAACAAGGAGACAGGAGTATAGCTCTAATCTGTCTCCCTGTGCTGGCTTTAAGACAGTATTTTTATTAGAAAAGGTTTAGGGAATGGATTCTGGGATTAGTAAATGATTGGTGGAAGGAAAGAAGCCATCTGGAAAATCTTTTGGCGTTCGCGGTTACCTCTTCATGTCCCTTCATGGGTCGCATGTGCAAATTTTGGAGGGAGTCAGTATGAAACATGGGGGAAGACTCGAGCTGTAACGCCAGCAAGCTCATTTTGTACAGACTTCAGGTAGCCATCCGTGTTAGTCCTAACCAATTTCAGCCAGTTTGCTTTATTTTGTTTTTTAATCTCACAATAGAAGAAGTTTAGGCGTTTTAGCAAATTGTTTTTTATCTGCTGTCCTGCACGCTCAAGAATTTCTGTTAGTCCCTGGTTTAACTCTGAGACACGGTTTCAATCTTGTGATTCTTCTATATATAGGTCTCCTGGACTAATCCATTGCCTTTTCTAATTTAGGCATGCATGTAGATATTGGCTGTAAGGAAAATTCGTGTTTGTCACACCTCTGATGAGAATAATTTTTTCCTTGTAGGCTGATTTGTAAATAGTGAAGGCAGTGCAGTTTTTTGTAGGTTTTGATTTTAGATGTGAAATGTGCATATTAAACCTTTCTTGCTGAATTAAGTAAGCACTTTTGGTAAAAGATGTTTTCTTTCTTTTTTTTTTTTTTTTTTTTTTGAGACGGAGTCTCGCTGTGTCTCCCAGGCTGGAGTGCAGTGGCGTGATCTCGGCTCACTGCAAGCTCCGCCTCCCGGGTTCACGCCATTCTCCCGCCTCAGCCTCCCAAGTAGCTGAGACTACAGGCGCCCGCCACCACGCCCGGCTAGTTTTTTGTATTTTTAGTAGAGACGGGGTTTCACCATGTTAGCCAGGATAGTCTCGATCTCCTGACCTCGTGATCCACCCACCTCGGCCTCCCAAAGTGCTGGGATTACAGGCTTGAGCCACCGCGCCCGGCCAAAAGATGTTTTCATAAAACACGTTTCATAGAGTAAAATACAATTTCTGAAGTTAAATATTGCTTATTATATTTAGGAAAGCTCTTTATTTAAATCTTTAAAAGATATGAAATCTGCAAAAGGTTCTCATACTCAGTGACTTAACATTATTCATATTTCTACTACAGCTGCATATGAGATAAAGGAAAAAAAAATTTTTAAGAGCCAAATAGGTAACTACATAACCATACAATAAAAATTTTTTCAAATAAGATTAATTAATAAACTACTGCACTTTTAAAGTTGTACACATTATAATGGGTCAAATACTGCTGTTTTAGATTGCAACTGTGGATCGCTGTAACAAGGGCACAGTGTTAAAACTCCAGCATTAAACAAGAAGTCTCATTAAGACTCAGTATCTGAGGAAATCCATGTTGCTGGTACCCACTGAGGCTCCTCCTGAGCCTTCTGTATGGCAGACAACAACTGGGCACATGCATCATGCAAGCTGTCATTCACAATCACATGATCAAAAAATTGGCCAAACTGAGTTTCCATTCTTTGGGCTAAATTTTCCATCTCTTGTAGGTCTTCATCCTTTAGGAGAAATAGAAAAATATGGATAGTACAGACTTAATTGGACAAATGGAAAAAATACAGTTTGTTATGCTGTCACATTCAGTCGTGAAACTACTTATAAAAACAGTAAGGTCCGCAAATTTTGCACAGATGATTTTTAATAATGTTTAAAACATATTTTCTCAAAATTCTACAAAGCTAGCTAACTAGAAAATAGTAATTTTTTTTTACCCTCTGTTAATTGAAAGAATGTTGCTAAATATAGATAAAATTATTATTTTTTTTAGACAGGGTCCCACTCTATCCCAGGCTGGCATGCAGTGGCATCATCTCAGCTCACTGCAGCCTCTGCCTCCCAGACTCAAGTGATCCTCCCACCTAGGCCTCCCAAGTAGCTGGGACTATAGGCACATACCATCATGCTCAGCTAAGTTTTGTAGAGAAAATGTAATTATTATAACAGGTATAAGCATATCCTTCCAAATTAATGTAAAGCATAAGCAAAGCTGGGAAAAATATATCACTATCCACAGTATGTCATCCTTTATTTCTTAGAAATGTATTACTGAGATAAATTTTAATTTGTAATTTTTTAAAAATAATAAAAGACTGAAGTTTTTATTTAAAAAAATGAGGTCCAATAAATGTCTTCTAAACTACAAAACTTATGTTTTAATCTTTAATCTTAATGTCTGGTCATGTTTTACAAAATTTAGTAATAGTTTGCAGACAGATTACTCCCCTCAACTTCCCATATGAAGTTATTTTACTCCTCCCTAAACACTTGAAACTCTAACCATATACAACATAAAACCAAAGAAAATGTACCAGTTTAAATAAAATTTAAACATAAATTTCAAGTGAACATTAATCTGATAGGAATAACATTATTTTAAAGATACAAAATGGCCACTTTCAACATGAGGATGGTATAAGCCAGTTGTATTACTGTTTCTACTATTGTGAAATGTTCATTTAATGAAGGTAAATTGGCCTTCACTTGGCACTAATGCATTAAATTCATTGCTGTTATTTTCTTATTAGTTCACGAAAAATAGTACCACTTGTCACCAGTTCAATCTGAAACACAAATACAAATGCAGCCACCAAAATCTTGTGGCTTTACAAAGTGACCATACATATGATCCAGAAACAATTTTGTTAATTTGTTTAGACTGCCATAAAAGTGAGAACAATTTTAAATGCCCATAAGACTCAGCAAATACATTCATGGACTTCACTGTTCACAAGGCAAACTGGAAAATCAGACCTCCAGAGTTATTGAAAAAAATATGAAAATAAAAATAATAAGAGAAAGGATAATTTAAAGATACCTGTGCTTGCTTTGGCAGCACATATACTAAAACTGAAACAATGCAGATTAGAATGGCCCTTGGACAAGCATGACATACAAATATTTAGTGAATCATTCATAGTTTTAGTTTCAATTTTGCCAAGTAAATAAATTCTGGAGATCTGTTTCACAACAACGTGAATATACTTAACGCTAAATACTAACACTGAACTGTACACTTAAAACAGTTAATATGGTAAGTTTTATGTATTTTTACCACACATACACACACACACACACAAAATAAATGGCTGTAATATCTTAATCTAGGTGATGGTTATCTGGGTGCATACACACCTAAAAACTCATTAAACTGTACACTCTATACACCTTACTGAATGCATGTTATGACTCACAATATTTAAAGTGTATTTCATGTAAAATATATGTATGCAACTGGAAAAAAATCACTTGTTCTAGGATGAGATCACTGATTAATTTCACCTGGCTTGCCCCCTCTATTATTACCATCATCATTTTACAGATGAGATATACTCACTGAGCATTTTTAAAGTAAGCTTTTAAGTAAAAGATAATCTGTTTAAAATACAAATACCAGGTTCATATATGCCCAATTTCTGTTTGGCTTTGCAAACTATGGCTCAAGGATTTTTTTTTTTTTTTTTTAGCTAGATCCAAAAAAATAAGAAAGAAAAAAATAAGGGTAGCATCATAGCATTTACTAAACTTTATTTTTATATCTGTAAGTGATGTCCCTCCAAAAGGATAAATCATAAGGGCATTATCCATTAGAAACAAAAATTACATTCTCTAACACAGATCCTGTAGAAACAATACAATTTTAAATTTTGCATTTCTTGTTTGTTTGTTTGTTTTGTTTTGTTTGTAAAATAAAACCAGAGTAAACCATATTATTGAGGGTCTTTTGGGGAGGGGGTCAAAAAGGAGGAGGAGAACAATGAGATCAGAGATCCTTGGCCTGACCCAACCCAGATCTCTCCCACGCAGAAGTCACTGAAAGCAATACAGTAATTTTTGACTTGCTCTTACCTTGAACTTCATGTCCACAAAGTAGTCAGTAATAATCTTGGCATTTTTCCGAGATTGTTTCATACACCTCATATTCGATGGCTTTATAAATATGACATAGGGCTTCAGTTCATGAGTTCGAACCACTTGAATATCCTACACAGAAAATTCAAATGCATACTTATTTTTTGTTTGTTTTGAGACATGCTCTGTCACCCAGACTGGAGTGCTGTGGTGCAATCACGGTTCACGGTAGCCTCAACTTCCCAGGCTCAAACAATCCACCCATCTCAGCCTCCCTAGTAGCTGGGACCAGAGGCACATGCCATCATGCCAGCTATTTTGTTTTGTTTTGTTTTGTTTTGTTTTTGAGACAGAATATCATTCTGTTGCCCAGGCTGGAGTGCAGTGGTGGGATCTCTGCTCACTGCAACCACCGCCTTCCCAGTTCAAGCAATTCTCGTGCCTCAGCCTCCCTAGTAGCTGGAATTACAGGCTTGTGCCACCACGCCCAGCTAATTTTTGTATTTTTAGTGGAGATGGGGTTTCGCCATGTTGGCCAGGCTGGTCTCGAATTACTAACCTCAGGTGATCTGCCTGCCTCAGCCTCCCAAAGTGCTAGGATTGCAGGCATGAGCCATCACGCCTAGCCCCAGCTAATTTTTTTTTATTTTTTATTTTTTGTAGTGACGGGGTTTCACTATGTTGCCCAGTGGGGTCTCAAACACCTGGCCTCAAGAAATCCTCCCATCTCAGCCTCCCAAAGTGCTGGGATTATAGGCATGAGCCACTGCACCTGACCTAAATGCACATTTAAAAACAGAAGTCCTAACTTTCTAGAGTCAACATGAAGCTTCTCAAAATTTCTAAGACCAGAAATTAGCAATTATTTTTAGAGTATCATCTCATGTGCCCCCAACTGCTCAATTCTTAAAAACAAATGAACATTTTAATAATTTGAAGATGGAGTTTTAGAATCAAAATTAAGGTCAAATCTTGACTCTTACTAGCTGTGACTAGCAATTGAAATCTTACTAGCTGAGCAACAGTCTATACATGAAAGAATCTCATTTACTGAGAGTAGGATTCTGTACATGATCTCATATGACAAAGACAGACTCTCAAGATGGATCAGCTCTGTTTCACCTTCACTTCCCTTTCCTCTTGCTATTATCTCACATTGGATACTACTGCCATCTCTTTTCCTCTGATTCTCTAGCACACGAAGTGTATTTCTAATGACAAAGAAAACATGGCCGGGTACAGTAGCTCATGCCTATAATCCCAGCACTTTGGGAGGCCAAGGCAGGTGGATCACTTGAGCCCAGGAGTTCCATTGCCAGACCAGCCTGGCAAACATGGCAAAACCCTGTCTCTACTAAAAATACAAAAATTAGCCAGGTATGGTGGCTTGCACTTGTAGTCCCAGCTACTAGGGAGGCTGAGGTATGAGAATTACTTGAACCCAGAAAGCGGAGGTTGCAGTGAGCCGAGATCATGCCACTGCACTCTAGTCTGGATGACAGAGCAGACCTTGTCTCAAAAAACAAAACAAACACAGACACACACACACACACACACACACACACACACACGAAGAAAATACAAAGATCACAAAAATTGGGCCTATGGATTGCATGTTCTTTATCTTACCTTAACTTGCTCACCCCTGCTCCATTCTACATGTGGTCTCAGGAAGGTAGCCACAGATATGACAACATAGAAACCTCACCTCCTTGTACAAAGCAACATCTTATTCACTCCACAAGAAGTGACCTTGATGCCTTTGTGATCAAGGTTAAAGCAAGAAAGATTCTTGCTTCTCTTTGCGACCACCCACTCAGTTCTGCTTTTCTGTATGAGAAGCAAGACTTCTTTCCCAACTAAAAGCAAAATGTTTTAAATTGACACATTAAGTAAGATCTTGGATATGAGAAATGGCCTTATTCTTAAAAGGCTAACAGAATAAATGTCTCAACTATAACCTACAGCATGTGCACAAAAAATGGATGATATGCATTCATTGTTTGGGGACATAAATATTCCACAAATATTCCATGGACCCACCTGAGGCTCTAAGTCCATGACGCAGATCTTTCTTTCATCAAGGACTGTTTGAACAGCATCCACACTAGTGCCATACAGGTGGCCTTTGTACTCACCATACTCCAGCATCCTGCAAGGGCAGGCCAAACAAAACAGAACGCTTTCTACAAAGAAAATATTATTAGTAGTAACATGAGGATAAACTGCACTAGAGTTGAATATAAATATGTGGACTTTATTAGCACAGAAAAAATGAATAGATATTCAAGAGGTGAACAAAATGAGCATATCTAGAGTTTATGTATTTCCTCAAATTCTCCAAGGTTTGCAAACTCCATTCTGCTCCCTTTCCAAAGCTAGTGAGTTGGTATGCTGACATATCAATGTACATTTCATGCTTAACTCCTCAGAAACAAAAGGAATTACCCAGGAGCTTTGGAAAATACATAAAAATAGGGAATCTATTTTGAATGTAAAACAACAAGAGGCAAGAATCAGCTTCTGAAGCTCCACTTTACCTGTGACTATATATGAGGCTTTCAAATGTTTCCTTGGACACATAGTGATACTCACGCCCATTCATTTCATAACTCTTTTTAGTACGAGTAGTGTCTATCAAAAAAAAGGGAATGAAAGGTTTCGGTGTCTTCAAAATTATTTGATTACCAATATACATTTGAATAAAGATATCTAATCAAAATAAATAAATGAATATATAATCAATTAGATAAAATGCTAGAACTAAAAAGAAGAAGCCTGAATTGGTGATAAGTTCTTATATCAAAATCAGTTAGTCTATAAACCTTTATTGAGTGTGTATGGTGTGAAAAAGAATGCACTAGGTATTAAGCCAACATAAGAAAGACCTAAGGTAACACCTGTTATTACTTCAAAACAAGTGCTAGTGAATTATGTGTGAACCTTTAGATGCCTAAAGGCTCCCAGGTAGCAATACCAATAATATCTTACATTTGGATAGTACATTTCCCATCATCTCATTTCATCTTCCACACTCTTATCTTAGGTAAACTGTTACTATCTATATTTTACTCATAAGTAAAGCTTTTGGAGAAACTTGCTCACATTCATAAGACTGATGAAAAATGAAGTTGAAATTAGACCCTATGTGTTCTGACTCCTCCTAGATGAATGTTTTTTACAATAGGTGCTCAAATTTGAAATGGAGAAAGCCCATGACATTCTGCAATCTTGACCAGATGTGTTAATACCCAAGTGAGTGGTGATTCGTTTTAGGGATCTCTAGGAGGGAAAGATTAGCTGTGTCTAGATTCAGTCTGATTCTTTGATATGGCCACTTTGATTACAGACTCTTCAACTTAAATAGTGACAGGTCATATAGAATATAGGAATTCATCAAATATCTAAAAGTTATTTGTTGTCTGCTCATTCATGTATTCAACTAGTGTGTACTGAGTGCCTACTATGTTCCAAGTATCATGTTAGGTTCTGAAAACACAAAGACGAGTAAGACAGTTTCAACTCTGCATCCCATATACTATAAAGCTAGTCCCTTAATCTACATTACCACCAGTTCCCTTATTTATACAGAATTTGTGTATTTGCATCTGACAAAGTTTAAGGATGAAATAGATCAACATCTGATGATATCAATACATGGAAATGATCAAGTAGGAGCTCGAAACCAGCCTTAAATTATCAAAGGAGTTACCAACCTTCAAGGGGGTCTAAAAGCAAATGTCATCTTGGGGTCATTTTTGTATTTTCCTTATTCAAGCCTCTCATCAGATCCTTAGAGTTCCTACAGTTACACCACATCTCCCACAGCTTCCTACTTAAAACAAAATTCTAGTGAAACTTTATAGCTCTCAGGTGATAGTGAATTACGTCAATCTAAACCCAAGATGACTCCTTCTCCTTTGCTTCCATTGGACTAACATTCATATGGTAGGTTAAAGTCTGTGAATTGATGCATAACTTGAGGTATCCATTTTAAGCTTAAAACTTCCATTTAAAAAGCAAAATATGAGAGTATTTTCTCATTTTGAATGATTAAAATTCTACATTGACAT